AGCAGATCGTTTAATTCGTCCCGCGGCTCGATTTGGAGAGAGCCGGTCCGCGCGATCCGCGTGGATGAAATCATGCGACGTGGGGAAATCCCTCTTCTCGTCTTGTTCGCCCGTTTCCAGGCCCAGGGTTTTCGCGCGTGCGAACCGAAAAGCTCGCGCGTTTCAACCACTTGCGCCGGCAACCGATTGCGGACCGTAACGAGTGACCGAACCGATTATATACCGACAATTCGTCGCTTTCTTTTCGAACTCGTTCCGGTACGATGTCGCTGGTTAGAAATTACTGCGAAGTAATGAACTTATTATTCGTTTTGCCTGGGTTATACTTGAATTAATATTTATTTATTTGTATATATAAATATATATTTATTTATTTATTTATATTAATAAATATATAATATATAATATATATATAAATAAATAAATATTATATATAATATATAATTATTATAAATATTATATATATTATATATATAAATAAGTAAATATTATATATAATGTATAATTATAAATATTATATATATTATATATATAAATAAATATTATATATATTATATATGCAAATAAGTAAATATTATATATAATATATAATTATAAATATTATATATATTATATATATAAATATATAATATTTATTTATTTATATTAATAAATTTATACTTATGTTTAACACACTGTGGACGGGAGACGAATGTTCGTGTCTTTCAGTTTCCAACTGTTGCGAACGGGGAACGCTTTTTTGCGTTTGTTGTAGGGGACATGACCCAGGCAACTTTATATATATAATATTAATATAATATATATATTAATATAGTATTATTTTATATAGATATTATATATTATAATGTTATATAATATTTCAAGAAGTAGGGAAATTGTTTCCTAACATATCACACCAAGAAACGTTACTCTATTTTCACTTTATTCAATAAACTACCTCTGAAACGAAAAATGCTTAACAATTTTAATTACTAATAAAATAATACACTTGTTAAATGCTATACATTCTCTTGAACCCTTTCAATCATAATGTTAAATAATTCAAAAATACAGGCGACACGCTTATCAAAGCATAAAGCGTCCTCAATGTGTTAATATAGATATAAACTAAATACTAGTCGAAGTCTGAAATGCATAATAAATAGTTTCTTAAATATTACTATAAAAAAAAATATGTAGTAACATTTAAGAATATTTTATCAATAGTGAATTAAACAAGTGCATATACGCGTTGTTACGAAGTTTCCCTGTTGCTCCAAGAAATACGCAGGGCGCGCCGAGTGAGTGCTCCCGAATGAAATTGCAATAAAATATTGCAATAAAAAAATCCTCGACGTGCGTGGCACGTCATTCGAGCGCAAGAGGCGCTTGACGAAGCGCCGGCCTGTTCTCAGCTGCGCCTCGGCCGAGGTAAAATTAGAGGTAGACCGTCCGCGGGGCAATTATTAAAATAGAAGAGTGACCAGAGGTGCGGTAGAGCATCGTAGCGCCGACGACTGACTCATCCCCGGCTCGTCTCTGCTCGCGAAAACGCGCGGAACGTTCGCGCGAGGCGGAGATCTATTTGTCGTGGCGGCAGCTGGACCCGATCGACAGGGATTCTGTGCAGATCTCTCCCTCAGGGTCAATGCCATCGTCGTCGTGTTCTCCCATTGGCCCATTGTTGACTTTGGCCGCACTGTGGACTCCACCGCACGAGGAGAACAAATCATCGTGAAAAACAAATCCTACGCAGGATCTACGCAGATTCACGCGGTTATCAGATTCATCTGATTCCGAACGCAACCGGTGTACGACGTGACTGGAATTTACGGGACATCAGTGTGTGTGTGTGTGTGTGTGTGTGTGTGTGTGTGTGTGTCTGAGTGTGTGTGTGTGTGTCCATTGGAGAAGAGCGTTGCGCTCAAGGCGAGCACGCCTTGCTTCTCTCAAGACGTTACGTTATTATGGAACTTGGCTCGTTAACCCCTCGGCTAGTGGGGTAAGTCGTGTGCGACGTAAATAGGGTTTACCAGGAAGAACAGCGAGAGAGAGAGAGAGAGAGAGAGAGAGAGAGAGAGAGAGAGAGGTAGGATCGATTTTTTTTCAACTATGCATAAGAGAGGGGCGTTGTGCATATATGTAACAACACGTGTCTTTAGTTTAACGGTCGATAAAGAGCCTTTCTGCGAACGTATGAAATTGATTTTGGTGTTCTTGTGACAGTCGACGAAGGCTAGTTACATGTAAACACACTTCAATAACGTGTACAATACAAAACGAGTTTCGTGCAATTTTTAATGGAAAATCCGATTAAATACGATCCACTTGTAGAATTTTCCGAGCTAAAGAAACTGTATATGACACGTTAAAAAAAAGAAAAAAAACGTGTAACAGACACGCACGACGCACGTAAAAAGACGACGCGTCTACGTGTATCAAGAACACGGATAACTCCGTGGTAACAAGTTTTCACGCGGCACGTTTAGCACTCGTTGAAAACCACGATCTCTACCGAGCAACTCCACGTGTCTTCGCTCTTGTGATCGATAAAGGGTCTTTCTTGCGTTAGTGAAAGCGCTTGAGATCGCTTTCGCCGCCCGTGTATATACATATATACGTATATAAAGGCAGGATTAATTTTAACCCCTTCGCCAAGTTGAAAGCCGGACGAGCAGCGCGAGTAATCAGACACCGTGCCTCAAAAGAACAATGCGCGTCGTTTTAAGCTAAAGTTACTCATGAAGCATACCGTTTTCGGTCGTTTGTTCGTCGAGAGAGACAGAGAGAGAGAGAGAGAGAGGATTCCTCCCCTGTATATTAGCGCAGAGTTTCAAGTTTATCCGATCAAATCTGCTCTCTATCTAATTTCCATGAAGTCGTGCGAACCGTTATGAGACTAATCTTCGAAGTAGGCCAACTTGGGGTGGTTGGTTTCGACCCTTGAACGATCCTATTCAAAAGGATTTGCAAACTGAATAGCCGTCACGCCGCTTTGAGATACGAGCGACGTGACGTCATTTGCTTCTTCCCGCTTCGTCGCGTTCCTCTTCCTGCTTTCGGCGGGCGGTTATCCCTCCGCTTTCTTCTTCGAAACGCATTTACGAGCCAGCACGAACAGGGGGAGCCTCATTCCTGCGTTCACTTTCGCCGTTTGTTGCCGCGCCGGATCGCCGATCGGCAATAATCGTAAAACGATCGGCGTGAAAACAGCGTCGACGATCAACGTTCACCGGCGTTTCGCACGAACGCAGATGAAAAGGCTCGTGTTGCTCATGCTGATTGAACGGCGCGCGGCAATTTTTCGCGCAATTTCATTTTGGGAAGAGCGATACCTCCACGCAACTGTCTATTAACTCTGTCGATCTATAAAAAAAAAACATCCCCTGTTCCAACTTTCTACATCTGCTCTTCTTCGTTTCGTAGCTTCGTTTCGACCCATTGCGCTGGCGACTGATTCGCGCGGACCGTAACGAGTGACCAAACCCGTGTATATATAATTCGTCGGTTTTTTCCCCTTTTAAACTCGGGGCTGGAATAATATCACTGGATAGATAGAAGTAATAAAGAAGTAATAAATTTATTTATTTTGCTGGGCTATATTTAAATGTAAATGCTGAAAGGTTTTGGGTTATATTTAAATGTAAATACTGAAAGGTTTTGGGTTATATTTAAATGTAAATACTGAGAGATTTTGGGTTATATTTAAATGTAAATACTGAGAGAATTTTGGAACAAAAAGTCCTCGACGTGCGTGGCAAGAGGTTAAGGGACGAAGCTTCTATTTTGTCTTTTTTTTTTTCTCGAAAGATGAAAAACTTCGTCTTCGGTTCTTTCAGTAAGGTGGAATTGGAATTGGAAAATTCTGTTTCTTGCTTATTTCTTTTTAGCATTTAATTCCTCAGTTTTTTATAATTAACTGATCTCCTATCACTGAGATCTCCTAACACTGCAGCTGGAAGATGATTCAACGTCATCCACGTCACTCCAGCACAAGAGGTTAAGGGACGAAGCTTCTATTTTGTTTTTTTTTTCTCGAAAGATGAAAAACTTCGTCTTCGGTTCTTTCAGTAAGGTGAAATTGAAATTGGAAAATCTGTTTCTTGCTTATCTCTTTTTAACATTTAATTCCTCAGTTTTTTATAATCAACTG